TGTGCTAGGAGCAACTAAAAGACAGCTTCACTACGATTAATGTTACTAGAGAGTCATTGAAAATCGTTAAAAAGGGGTTTAAAATTAAGTTCAAAATTGTTGAAACTTATTGAGAACTTCTGGAATCGTCACCGACTTACACACTACATAAAAAGACGTGAACTTCTTTGTTCCGTTTTTTGTAGTAAACAGAATTGCTAGTTTTATAAATATACTAAAATGGCCCATCAACACAGTAACAGTGATAATAGCTGCACATCTAAGTGCACATGGTTTCCAAACTGACCTGCACCAACATTTGTGAACAAAGGCAGAGCTTTCGATGAAGTCAGCGGTCCCAAAAAAGTTTTCCCCAAGCAAATGCCCCTCTTGCCGAATCCATGGAAAAATTCAGTCATACAGACCCTTAGTCTATCAGGTGTTGTCGTTCTTGGTTTCTCTAGTTTGCTTGTTAAATTAATACCTAGCGACGCCATATATCTTTTATATTAATACTTATTGCGATTCAAGAGGCTTGTTTTCGCTTCAACAGTCACGCAATTCATATAGAGACATCTATTTAAAGATAACTGCTGATCTATTATTAGCTACTGTTAAAACTAAATAATTGTGTTCAGAAGAGGGTGACAAATTCGGTTGGTAAATCTTGCAATTTCAGCTGAAATGTGATAGGCGTTAAATATTATAAAATTAACACTTTGTCGAGTATGGGTGGATATTTCCTAGAACAGATTTATCAGTGTCGAATTGCAAAGATATTATATAAATAACCTTCGGCTATAAGCGCAATGGCTATGTAAAGTCACAGTAATAACAAGAAGCTACAATGTTTCGTCAAATTTCATTCTTATAAAACCTTGATCAATGATTTAATAGTAATTTTATGCGAAATCGCGTATTCATCTGTAAATAAACGAATTTATTATCTTATTCTTATTCAGAATGTTGTTATGTAAAAATCTACGACTTTTGTTTACAAAATTATATTTCAACATGTTGCTAATCTCACAACCATCGCATACGTATACCTACCTTAAAATTTCATTTAATATTTGGCGCAGAGTTACTGGGAAATAATGCGATGGGTTTGCAATCCTTTCATCGAATAACATTTATACTCCAGGAAATGGCAGCGCAGCGGAAATTATCGTGTTTTAAAGAAACGATCTGCACTTTTATAATTTCTTATGAAATATTTAATGGTTTATAGATCTGTATTCATTAAAATTCCCTATGGTTACGTTTGTTTGCTTATACGGAATGAGAAAACGAATAGGAAATAATTCTAAATAATAGTAATTTTCAAATAAATGATTATATGAAAAAGTACAAGGAAATATAAAAAGTTATCAAACGAGCGATGGAATCCTTTAATGTTATATTTAGACCGTGTTCAAATTTTGGGAGCTAATATTCGTATTTGAAAAAAAAAAAATAAGTTTATCACCAATATTCTTATGAGCTTGTGAGTTTTCTTCTTTTTATTTTAAATGGTACAATACAGGGTGATTAAAAAAACCGCGGACAGACTTCTAGGGCAGATAGTACATGAAAAAATAAGACAAAACGTCTAATGAATACCCATATTCATGCATTACATTATTTTTTTTGATTGCGTCAAAAAATTTTATTATCTCAAGATTTCAGAACTAGAATCTTCAAACTTCAAGATGCTTTTTTTTTCTTGATACGACCATTATTTATTAACCAAAGTTATAGCCTTTCAAAAATCACTAAAAAAAATTTGGAAATTTATCTGTTCTCTTAATTTTTTTGCTACCAAATAAGTTTGATCGAGTTTCTCGATCTTGAGATTATAGCAACCTATAAGCTTGTACCGACTTTCACTTATAATCGACGAGTCATTTTTAATTATCCTATTCCTTGTTTCAGGTTGGCACCAAATTTAAAAACACCTTGTATATTATATTAGCCCTTAAACTGAAAAAGAATAGATTTTGTTTGTTTGGTTTCCTTTTGAGGTCATTATATACGTACATATCTTGGTTTATCCAATATGAGGTTTTCCTTTTTACATCATATCAGTTATAATAAAAGGTTGTTATTTATCTTAAAGATAAATTATATTAACAGATGGAAAATATGGTACTTATAACAAAATTGTTGCTAATTAATTTACATCTAATAATCCAAAGGTTACAGGTATCCTAACCATGGCATTTTTTGAGGAAAATGTATGCATTGGTTACTGATGTAACGGGAATCCCCATCTCCAACAGAGAAACATAAGTTCAGGATAACCCAATTCTATAAATAATGACTAATGCCTTTGGCTAGCCAGCCGTGAGAAAATTTAAGTACCCACGCAATGATAAAATACTGATTCAATCGGTGACAACACCTTTTTGGCTTACCGAGGTAGTTAATAATAATTTCCTAATAACTGTTATCTTCAAGTCTTACTTTGCTTATTTTCTTTATATGTGTTCATCTAATATCAATTATAAGTAGGCCAACCCAAGTAATAACACTGATGAAGCTCATTTTGAAATTGGTGGATATGTAAACAAACAAAATTGACGTATCTGGGGTAGAGAAAACCCCGAGTAGATAATAGTGGAACAACCAAGGCATCTACAAAATTCAACTGTTTGATGTGGTTTTTGGTTTGGTTGAGTGGTTCACTCTTCTTCGAAAATGAAGGTGGAAACGTTGTTAGTGTGAATGATGATCGATATCGAACGCTGATTAGGTTTTATTAATAATAATTTTTAGATCAATTCTAAAACTGTGCAATCTATTTAAAATAGTACTTTTTCACCACCATAGCCGAAATATTTTAAGTTTCGAGTTACAGAGCTGGAATAATATTTATCAATCCACTATAGAAATAATTGTTAACACTATATTTGCAACACAACACAGTATTGCACAATTACAAATCTCACTGTTTTCTATCGGAAGGTTTCGGAGTCATCTGGAAAAAAATAACTTTCGGGATATATTTCTTGTTTTAAATTCATACTTTTTCTCTTATTTTTAGTCGCAAAATATGCAAGTAAAATATTGCAAGCTGCCTGTTTTAAATTGTAAAGCGTGTTCCAATAAAAATCGCCCAGAAAGGTAAATGTTTATTTTAACATAATAAGAAGCTAAGGTAAATGAAACCAAATTTTTCGAATTAACTAATGGATTGGTAGTACATTAAACATTGAAGTCGCCACGAGTGCTATAAGATAATGGCCTTGATCGGCCATACATTCCCGACTTCTTCACTTTATTATCCTTGTAGCACCCTCCGCACCTTATTATTATAATGCGGTAACTTTTCATTTTTAACTTCATGTTACTGGATTAATTTATTGCGACTACTAAAAAAGTAAAATTTTATAGATTGCGAATAGAAAGCTGTATATACAGGATGTCTCGCGAAAAAGTGCACGAGTTTTATGGGGATATTTTTCAGGTAGTATTAAAATTTTTAGTAGTATTCCAAAAACGCGTAATGACAACAATTTTTATGAAAAAGTTACTTTTGTACAATTTTCGTAATTTCGAGATCCTAAACATTTTTGAGAGATTTCAAAACACTATACAACATCACAAGAAATGTTCAAAATGCTGTCCTTGGGATGCAATGAATGCTGCGCAGCGTCTCCGCATTGATCGTCTTACAGGCCCCATAATTCTAGTCGTATTGTGTTTATGGTTGCGAAACCCTCTACAATGTCGAAGTACTTCTACATTGGGAACTGGAGTACGATATACCATAGTTTTGAGGTAGCCCCAAAAAAGTAATCCAAGGGATTCAGGTCGGGGAAACGAAGAGGCTAAGCAATGGGTCCTCCTCTACCAATCCAGTGATTGGGATACTGATTATTCAGCAACTGTCTAACAGTAAGATGTAATGAGGTGGCGCCCCATCATGCATATACCACAATAATTGATGTAACCTCAATGGTACTTCTTCTAGAAGTGGTGTTAATTCTTCTTGTAGGAACCTTCGATAAGTTCTACCATTGAGGGTTCTGGGTAAAAAGTAGGGACCAATCAAGTAATCGCCCACAATACCTACCCAAACACTCAGAGAAAACTATTCTTGGAATCGACGTTGGAAAATAATATGCGGATTTTCATCCGCCCATTGGTGGTTTTTATGATGATGATGACAATTCGGTACTGGTATTTTACAGTTGAAATGAATCGAATACCATATTTTTTTTTATTAAAATATGTTTTTAGTTTAGTCTGAAAAAATAACGAACTTGTTGCAACACACAAAACAGTGGCGTTGTATAGTGTTTTGAAATCTCTCAAAAATATTAGGTATTGAATTTATTGTTATACATTTAGCAATTAATAGAAAATGATAAATAGCAACGTAGGTACTTAAAAGTATCTTCTTATTTGATTTTCCAAAGACCAGTAAATTTTACGAATACTTTACAAGAATACTTTATTGCCACAAATTGATTGTAAATTTTAAAAACATTTAACATTATTTAAAAAACCAGTGGCGTACGATTATTTTTTTTTTTTTTCAAAAAAGGTGCCCTACTTCCCCAATAACCAAGTCACTGAGTGTATTTTGGAATAAGTTATCCATGAAAAAATAGTCTCTACCAAAAAATGTCATCCCCCAAATTTTATCACTTTTTTGCCAGGAAAAATCATATAAATATTTGAAACTTTTAACACCCTGTATCTCCGTAGGAAAAAATTGTATAGGGCAAAAGTTGATTATTTTAATCGGTAGAACACCCTGTATAATAAAAAAGTTAAAAAAAATCAAAATCAAATTGAAAATTATTCGTTTTCGACTAAGATTTATAAGAACCTGTTTGCTTATTTGTTATTTAAAGTTTGTTCACCGCCCCATCAATATGATCTATATCCATATCTTCGATAAATTTTATTGTATTTTGAGACACTTTGTAGATAGGTAGGCGATTGGCGTCAAATGACGGCCGCATTATCAGACTTCCCATGAATAAATACCAAATACCAACTCGTTTCACGAGTCAATTCGTCAACAACTTTCGCTGAGGCCGGTCGCTGTTTCTCGTCGTGGAATGTTTGTACTCTACAATAGTTTCTGAATTTCAGTTAAAAATAAATGATGACCCTTAGTGATGATGACCCCCGGTGAACTAGGACTGCATCCAAGAACTACATTTGCGGCACATCCATAGTCAGTGTTAATCATTGGAACTCGATTTAAATACCTGAGTGATCTGGAAATCAAGTGAAAATGCGTGGGTATTGTGTAAACTTGTGCATAGTTGTGCTAATAAGTTTGTATATCAGGAATGCAAATGGACAAACAGAAATTATATCAAATACGACTCGACCTGCGAACAACACAAAACCGGTATGTGCGATTTTATAAATATGTTAGATGAAGAACGATAAATATATGTTTAAAGAACCTTTCGCCAACATAATTCGTTCTTAGAAGAAAATAATTTTATATTGGCTTGCCACGCTTGATATATTATCTGTACAGACTATATCCCCCAATCATTGTATGATAAAAAAATTATTACATACTTGAACCTCGATAAGCCGACCTTGATAGACGTTTTCCCAAATGTGATGCTAAAATATTGTATGCAAAAGTAAAATAATAGTGTATAAACAAGACAGGTAGTTCTCATAAGAATAAATTAATGTTTCCATAAGACATATATTACGGATTATTTATCTTGAAACAAACTCAAGCAATGCATTACCATAATTAAAGCTAATTCTAAAATATATGATTGAGACACGAGTACTACAGAATATATTGTTGTTATGTTTGGGGTGGATATTAAAGGGGGCAAGCAAATTTTTTCTGGACATTTTCAACTTACAGTATATTGTGCAAAATTAAATTCAAAAACTTTTTTCCTCTTCAATATTCTTCCAAAATGCATAGGTTCCAAGATATAAGTAAAAAACTAGATAAAATCGGTATTTTTTAAATTTTTTAATCATTTTTGCAATTTTGAAAATATTCCGGACTTCGGCCAGATCTAGGGACCTACACTTTTATTATGTGAGTTATACTGAAGGTATTCCAGCAAAAATTAGCTTGCCCCCTCTTACATCCAAGAAGTGGAACATTTCGACAGATCCGTACTGGTCTATTTCTGTAACATCAAAATTGAAAGTATCTTCAAAAAAATTTAGTACGTCCAAGATTAATGATTCCTATTTATTTGAACTATCGAGGTACATGTTAACCTAAATATTAGGTACGCGGTATTGGAAAACCCCCATGCATAAAATCATCCTTTCCTGCTTCCGTTTTCAGTATTTGATGTGACATTGTTATCAACAGACTAGGAACATTTAGAATATACCTAAACTTGTTCACTAAGCATAGAGTTATAGACGTCAAGTTGACTTAAATTTGTAGAACATTAGAACTGAACAGAAAAAATAAAAAATCTGTTAAATCAATATCTCTTATATCAATACCAAGAATACAGAATGATGATTAAGTTTTATGCGAAATTGTACAGACAACTAGATGTTTAGTGTAATAAAATGAAAGATGTTGTTGTTGTTGTTGTTGATGATTAAGTTTTATGCGAAATTGTACAGACAACTAGATGTTTAGTGTAATAAAATGAAAGATGTTCTTATACTAAAAACTACATTTATTGAAGGATTTTTAAATATTGCAGTTAAAATTATATTTTTCACAAGCACTGTCTCTTAGTGTTATAAAATTTAACTAGTGAAGGGCGTCTCAAAATTTACGCAAGTAATTTTTATAGAAAACAAAGGTTTTTAATTAAACATTGTAATTTTTTATTGGTTCATCAGTTTAGGTTTCCTGGCACATGTCGAGATTTTCCTTGACCATTTTGCTTAAAGGCGGTTGAACAACGTTCACTTTCCTCTTTTAAGGTGTAGGCGCATGATCTGGGAAATTGTCTGTATGGCATGTGGCACCGTCTTATTGACACCACATGTCGTCTACAACCATATCTTGGAATATAGGCACAAAAAAACTGGACTATTAGTCGCGATAGCGAGCACTATTAACTGTTATTGCCTGACCAGCCGCATTTTCGAAGACGAATGATCCGATGATGCCTTTAGCTCAAAATCCGTACCAAAAAGTGATACATTGTTTATTCAATTGTTTCTCAACAGTCACTAGTGGATTTTCTGAACCCCAAATGCGATAATTTTGTCGATTAATGTTCAAAAAATCATTTAACGAATCCTCTTCGTTCTGCGTGGTCAGTAGGCTTCATTTCTTGACTCAATTGAACTTGTAAGCATGAAGATGCTGATCTTTCGTGAGAATATGCGGTACAGAGCCTCTCGAAATGTCCAATTCTTGACCACAATGCCGAATTAACATTCCTGGACTCTTGGCAACACTCTCTCGAACTGCTTCGATGTTTTGTGTAAACGACTTGTTGAAGGACGGACAAAATCTTTTAAGATCACTAATTGATCCAATCTCACTGAATTTTTCAATAAATCTCTTCACTATTCCGACTCGATATTTAATAACCCTGAACTTTCAGCTGCTACGCTGATTAGGAGGTAATTACACTTTAAAGTGAATAATCTGTAGTATAACTTTAGTTTTGTATGAAAAAGAAATGTTGTTAGATTTGTTACGCATATGGTGAAAAAATGTTATGTCAGTACCTATATAATCTACATTAATATAATTTTGAGTCAGTATGGCTATGAGACGATTAGGTTAGGTAGAATTATAACATAGTAATGCAGTAATAGGATTTACAGTAGTCGAGGTATCAAAGGGCACGACTCAATAATCATTCGAGATCAATTTAGGTATTCAGCAGCTGATTCAAATCCCGTTGCAGCAGAACTGTATGGTAGAGAGGATGCGGTAACCTCTAAAAAAATAATAATCCACCGTATAGTACTATTTTATCAATTAAGTTTATCATTAAATCATCGTATGAATTCGTTCGTGTATTATTCTTTAAAGAGAAAGATAATAAATTGAATAAACAACAATAACAACATACACCTAATACCTGCTACCTATCTCTTTCAATGCTTTAATAGACATCAACCGAATCTGTTATCTTTCGTCGAATAAAGTGAATGAGTAAATATAGAAAAAGATAACAAATCGAATTAACAAAGCGGTGCAACATATTCATATCTTTTTGTTTTAATATTTTTAGAAACATCAATTGAATGTGTTTTCTGGCATTGAATAAAATAAGGAAAGAGTGAATACAATCGGTATACACAGAGATCTTTTTCTTTATCACGTGGTGAAAATCGTTGTCGCTCACACTCTATGTCGAGAATTTTGTTTATTTTGCGGTAAACGAATGGACAAATGGAAAGGGGAAGGAAGATAACGCATAACTGCACCCTAGTTTTTTAAATGTGTATATAATAAACCAATAGAAATATGCAGATAACTGTTGTTTTGTAGAAATTTTTTACATAAAATTAACAAATCAAATTAACGCACAATTCATCAAAACCATATTTATTCTGCTCTAAAATCCATTTAAATTTAGATTTTTAATTAAGGGTCAGTGTCAGTGATTGATACAAAATGTAGGTCTGGGTATTTATGGGTGCTGTCACCAAAACCCAGTTATTTAACGATGAATTGTAGAAAAATTACTTCCAAAACGTGTATTTCAACTTTTATTGGGCAAATGAGTCATTATTGGGTTTCGAACGAGCTAAAACGTATTTGAAGCATGTAAACAATTGTCAGACAAATTGAATCATCCATTCATCCAAATCTGGTGCTTTTCCTCTACATTGCTTATATGTTCAAAATTAAATAGGGTGACAAAAGACGTTGAAGTAATCATGGGGTATTATTTTGAAAGTTATTATATAAAGCACATATTGGTTTCTCCTTAATATTCAATTCCTGAAACAAACGGTTCTTTTTTAACCCATCCCAATATTATTTTTTGTTGTTCAATCAAAACTAGAAGTTAGATTTAGATTTAATACAATGTTGCACTGTTTCTGCTTTCCTTAGAATTATTCCATTTCAAAGAAAAATAATTTCATGGAAACATACTTCCATGGTATTTTAAAATATTTTATTAGTGTAGGCGTGTTCCTTTTATCTAAACATGGAATCCACCTAGACCGGTTTATTCATTTTTAACTTTCGTCACGCTTTTTTGTTTTCAATTAATATCCAATAATTTTCTTTCAGAAACTGTAGATAAGATTTTATTGAAATGCGTGAACAGACAGTTAATTAAATGATAGTCAATTTTTACCGTCAACAAAAGTCAACCATCAACTAATATCGAATAGTGAGAAGCCGACTTAAAGCTATGTGAACATTTCTACCTAATAAACAAACTAAAATAATGACCTCCAGTATTTAATTCAGGTTCACAACTACCGTTAAAAAAGATTTCTACTATCGTGGTGGAATTATCAATGAATGAAGAGTGAGCAACTCGAGAAAATGTAATTTATAAAAAACATTTTAATTATAAGATTAGTACGTTAATGATTTTTAGATTTAAATTATTCATACTTTCTCTAAAAGTAATTTATTTCGTATGTATAAAACTAATAGATACAATTAAATGTTTCTTTTCATTAAGAACATTTACATAATTTATTATTGTAGGAAGCGTATGGAACTGTACAAATTTTATAAAAATATTATTCTAGTATCTTTAAAAACATATATACTTAAAATTATAGTTTATGTAATTGAGTTTCTAATTTGTTCTTTCTAAATAATTATTAAAGATGTAGGTGACATATTAAAGTTTCTAACATTAAGCGTGTTTGTGAGACTGTAAAGTATAGACTTATAAGTCTCACAAAAGTTTTGTTAAGATTTTACATTAATATTTACTAATGTAACAGAAAATAAGTGCAGCAGTTAAACTTCTGAATTAAACTTGGGTATGAACAATAATTGTTTACGTTTACGCTTTACACATTCTATATTTAGTCCATCATTTGCTCACCTTTACCTTTTGTTTTGGGAAATATTTATCTGCTGACAGTTTATGTATTTAGATACATTTCTGTTTAGTGCAATATTGTAAGAATACCGCAGGAATGTAGTATTTTAAGTTGAAGTAACAATTTTTTTATAAATTATATTTTCAAGGTGACAATTGATTCATTAACAAAAACTACTACTGCTGTCAGAATGGGAAAAAACGGAAATAAAGAGAAGTACAAAATTTTAGGTGACCACTGAATAAAAAATTACAATAAATCAATGAGAGCTATCTAAAGGCGGACGTAACTACTTATAATTTTCATTTCCGCATAATCTCATTAATAAGAAATTGTTATTCTAAATTATAGGATGCAAATAATTTTCTAAGAATTTCGATAAGGAACGCTATAATATATATTATGTAATAA